ACCTCTTTTAGGGTGCTCTTGCCCTCATTCCTAAGCTTCTTAAAGCAAACGTGTTGCCAGTGACCTTTTTTTCCGCAGTTCCGACAGATTGATCCCGCTGCGGGGCACTTGGACTTTTCGTGTGCACTGTTGCCACATCTTCCACACGTCTGTGTTCTAGCCGCATTATTTTCAGCGTTTTTCGGCGTGTATTCTCGCCGCTTTGCGCCTTTCTCTTTTGCTGACATTCTTTTGTGGAGGGCATCCAGCGTCATGTCTTCTGCTTGAGACTCGCCTCTGACGACGGCTTGCTGTCGATGCACGGCTTCTTTCTGTCGAGCTCGAGTGTACGCAGCTTCCAGTGTCAGATTTGGGTCGCTTTGAAGTTTTTCTGAGAGCGAAGAATCTTGCAATCCAACGACAAAACGATCGCGGACGAGTTCTTCTTTCAACGCGCCGTAGCCGCAATGTGTTACTAGGCGATGCAGGCTAGTCATGAAGCTCTCAACAGATTCACCCGGCTCTTGTTTCTTCTGGTGGAATTTGGCCCGTTCGTAGATAACGTTTCTCTTGCCGACGAAGTGGCTTTCGAAGAGTTGGGCAACTGCTTCGAACTGTCGCTGTTCGGTGTCGGTCAAAGCCGAGGCGGACAAAATGTCTTCCGCGTCCTCACCGAGAAAGTAGATTAATGCGTCTACTTGCGATCCTTCGTCTTCTTTATCGAGTTTCGAAACTCTACGGTACCTGTTAAAACGGGTGATCCACCTTGGCCATTCTTCTGGGCGCTTGAAATCAAAGGCTGGCGGCGCCGTGAAACCCATTGCTAGCAGTGTTGTTGGGGCCGTTACGTTCTCCGAGTTCGATGAGGCTTCCATTTCCGGAGCACTTCTGACACCATGTGGTAGTATTTACCTGATTGTACCGGTCGTACCGGGTAACAAGCAACACTACGTGTAGAACGTTTTGAGATCCCCAGGGCGCTGTGTCCTCTTCTCCCTCTTTTGTCCCCCTACTTGCCCCGTTTATTCGGACTTACAAAACAATATTATTACAATATAACGAAGTGCACAAGGGAATGGGAATTCCTGATCGCTTCGCTGTAGCCGCTCTTTCGTTATAACCAACTTCGGTTATAACGAAGTGCAGAAGGGAATGGGTAATCGTGATCGCTTCACTATAGTCGCTGTTTAGTTATAACGGACTTGGTTATAACCGGTCTCGACAGTAGTGAGATGTGAAACATCTTACTCACTGTCCCTCGCAAAATGTTCTCTTTCAGGTAACAACATACGTTCGCTAGAAATGAGAAGAAAGAACACGCGGGCGAGCTGGGGAACTTTGAACGTCTTGTAAACCCGAGCTGTGGGAACAAAATGCGAACAAAACAAAAGTGGACAGAAAAAAAGTGCCATTTGCCGAGCTTTCTCCGTAAAAAAGGCAGTGATTGGTTCTTCAAGTGCTCCGGGAGAAAGCAAGCGCGCGGGCATTTCTCTCGGCGCTTATTTGCGAAATTCGTGGGCGGATTTGGAGCGGCTTTCGAATGAGTTTTACCTGGTGCTTTTCAGCGCGTGGAAACCCGAGATATCGTTGATTGCCCTATAAACGCGAGCGTATACAGCGCTTTAGACAAATGTCGTGGGTCGTTAAGGATTAACAACCAGAAAAGCGAACGTTGACTCGGGACAGTCTTTATGAACGTTGCAACAAATTCGAAGAGTGTTAGCGCAATGCAATCGGCTTTTACACGATAAAAAAAAAAAAAAAAAAACGCGGTTGAACTTATTTGTTTTTTCTGCGTGTCCGACTTTTGAAGACACTCCCATTCGTTTTCCTTCATTGCGCCTCTAATACAATGCGAACAGCTTAAACAACAGTTCACTTATGTTCTATCTATATACGCATCAAGGACGAAACGCTTAAAAGCAATGCGCAGACACCGCTCTCTTTTCCCCATCTCGGCAGCTACAAATAAAAAAATTAACAACTGAAATGTTTTATTCATCGATTAAAGCTCTAACCATTCCGTTATTAATTTTTTCTTTCGCATAGTTTGTACCACTTTGCTGTGTTAGCGCGCGCGTGCTGATTGTAGACGATTTCAGGACGTGCTTTGATCCACAAACATTACGTCAACGCCCTGTAACCAAAGTCGACTAGTTGACATCATACAATATCTAATGAACACGTCCCATATTCCTCGTATCAATAGCTACTTAAATTTGCGAAACAAAAATCCCCTCACCGACCAGTTTCCTGTAGACGACAAGAGAGAAAAAGAAAATCAGTGATGTTTGTAGAACGATTGGCAGCCTTAAAAACGGCGCTAGACGTCAACAGAGGGAGATGTGATACCATGATCTACACAAGAAACAGCTCGCGACGTTACGTGACGATAATAAAATAGGTGTTAATATACCGGATCACCTGATTTTTAGTAGTCTACATACCAAACCCTGCACACCTTCTTTTTTTTTCTTTTTTTTTTTTGTGAGTCGTGGATGTTTAGCATTCCGCTACGACGAAGCTTGCCTTTTGTTTCAGCGTTCCACTTTTCAAGTTTTGAAGTTGACTGGCTGCGCCCGCCGCAGAGAGATAAGCTTATCTGCAGGGCTGTAACTCATTCGAGAATTAGTGCCGCTAATCCGCGCCCGAGACTCCTTAACGCTCGCATTGCGAAACTCAAGAATTTACTAATTTATGCGGGGCGTAAAAAGAGATAGACATCATAAAGCGGGTCCCTTCGGTTGTTGCCACCGAATTTGCGGTTACGACAGTGGAAAAAGCCTGCGAGGTCGTTGTGTATAGGTGGAGTTAGTCTCGACTAACAAAGTGACTAACTAGCCAGGGACAGGAAAAAAAAAAGTGTAGGGCATTGTTACCGAAAAAACCCAGTAGAAGTAAATTTTCGCTACCTGGATTATAGAACTAGAAATCTATCTGGCTTTTATCTTAATTTCAGATTTTCAGAAATTATTCCTTTGTGTGCCATTTGGATTAAACAAATTTCCAGTTCCATACTCCAGATAGTGAAAAGTTATTCTGGGGCTTTCAGTAAATATGGCTTATTATATTATATGGACGGAGTGTATATTATATCGAATTTTATATTCCTGGCTTTTCGCTTCGTGAGCGGCGCCAGATGGTTTTTATTTCCATCCTAACGAAAGTTCTCTTTTCGATGATTATTTCGTCAAATCTAGGAAACCAATAAGAGTGTTCCTCGAAAGTATTATGTAACGACGCTTTCAATATAAGTAAAATTGTTTTCGAGATTCTTTTTTTTTTACTTGATAATAATGCTCAATTATGATTTAAGTTATAGCGGGGAAAACCATGCGATTTAAATTATAATTTTAAGAACTATTTAAATTGCATTATTTGTTCTTATCTCCACCGTAATTCACACGCGATGCTGCCAAGGTATAAAAGCTCCGCTATTTTACCGTCCCCAAATTTCCTGTCTTCTTTTTTTTTGTTTTTTTAAATGACCGATTTTGCTATCTTTTTGCGCGTGCGTGAAGGTTTGGTTGATGACTCAATGTCATTTTACCACCCAAAGTTTATTTATATGCTCACATCGGCCGTCGGCAATCGATTCAGCGAAGAATGCCTCCACCCTGACAGAGAAAGAGGCACCCCATTCTACGGCTAATAGCAGCGCCAATCGACAGGTTTTAAAGAGGCTCCAATCGCGGGAGGGGGGCAAACCTGCCTCTTTTTAAATGAACACTGCCGCACAAATTAATGGCTTCCAGCAGCGCTGGATCAAAAGAGCTGTGGCGGGAAGAGAAGTTGCCGATAACAGATACGCATTCCTTCGTTGGCTCTGACCAACGGTGAAATCCGTGCGGCAGTGAGAATAACAGAGCAAGGACGACTGCCGCAACACCCATTCGCAATCCTGAGCTTTCGCCGGCTCCTGTCTGGAAAACATCGAGAAACATCAGTACTCCCATCTGGCGTAAGACCAAGATGAAGATGCGCCCCCCTTGACACACGGCGAACCGAAGAAATTCCTGACGACATCATTCCCGACAAGACATTCAGAGATGGCGATTGGGAGCCCAGAGAAGAAGAAGAAAAAGAAACGAGAAGGTTATAAAGATAGAATCTGACTGCACGACGTTCCATTTAGGCTAACATCTGCTAGAGCTGCAAGCCTATTCCTCTAGGTCTCAGCGACCAATCATGGTGTCTATATGCGGTCTGAATCTGTTAATCACATAGGGAAATTCGAAAGGAAAGGTGGTTATCTTAAGGTACGCATGGCTGCTCTTTCGCTGGAAGATCAAGGTGGACGGAAATTCAGGAGTGATTCCGCAATGCCCCTTATGCGAAGGTTAGTAATGCAGACTTTCGATGCATAAATTGATCTAGGGAAAGTCTGCAAGAAAGAGTCACAAGGCGTACATTTGCTACAATGGCAAGTTAAAAAATATAAAATTTATACTATTGCTCATAAAATCGTTTATACGCGAAACACTAGATATCTGAAATATACAATTATTACCTTAATGGCATACAAAGTTCCAATTCATATATTTTTTTTTTTTAGATGTTGACGTACAAAGAAGCAAACGAAATACCAAAGAAACAATGCGGTGCACAAGTTTCGTCTGCTTCTTGCGTAGGGGTTGCAATGACGTCAGAACGCCGAGCTCTGATTGGCTCTGATTGTAAAATAGTGGGTAGACCTCAATACTAGCTGTTTTGAGGTCTACCGACTTTCCTTTGAATTGGAGCCAATCAGAGCTTTACGTTCTGATGTCACCGCAACCCCTGCACAAAAAGCAGACGAACTTGGGCTCCGCATAGATGACAGATCTCACCTGCAATTTTGCTACGCCGCCGCTGCCGTGAGGTATCGAGGGAACTTTAATCTTTCTGCACGCCAACAACCTAAGTAAAAAGTCAGGTGTGGATACTCTCAACCTAGCTTATTTAGTCTTTCTATTGGGCAGGCATGTCCAGACCAGAGATTTTTGTCCAGGCGTAGAATATTAGAAGGACCCATGGCTCACCATCCACTTGACGCACTCGAGGGCCCCCATCTGCGCGGCGGCGTGTAGTGGGGCCATGCCGTCCCTGGCCCGGACGTTCAGGTTCCCTCCGGCCACGGTGACCAGGTACTGCAGCACGGGCACGTGACCCTCCTGGGCCGCCAGATACACCGGGGTCACGTGGTTCTCCATCGGGGTGTTGGCCCTGCAACGCGGAGGGGAGGACACCGGTGAGTTGAAAGCACAGCCTCAAAATTTAATCAGAAACACACGATGGATGATGCTGGATAGTTTTCTGTTTTCTTTAACACTACATATAAAAGATGAAGAAAGATACGATTTTGTAGCTTTCATAGTTGAATGCCAAGGGAGCATACGACAACGTCAGTCAAGACGTCTTGCGGAACATACTAATTAGACGTGCAAATATAGAATACAAATTAATGAAGCGAAGCTTTTAGTTAAATTTACTGATGCACTTCATAATTATTTATTTTATGGAATTCAGTTCTGACAGCGTTCAATGTTCACCAGCACTCCTGTGTCATTAGTGTTTTTTTTTTTTCTTTTTTAAGACAAAAAGAGGCTTTAACATATGGAGTAAATACAACGAAACCCAGTGGAGATTAAACGAGATCTTAAGCATGAATCCTTGTAATCTCCAATATATGTGAATCAAAGGCGAACTTAAAAAAAGTGGCATTGGTTTTCATTACTCCTACTACAGCTGGAGCAAAGGTTCACGTGCTGATTCACGTGAACCTTTTTCCCGCGGTGCTGCACCGGAACCCATCACATTTGTGCATTTGCATACACCAGTACCGATGTATGAAATGACAGCGTTGTTAGTAGATCTTCAAGAAATTTTATATTTTGTGGTGCTGACCGAGGCATGTTATGTCTTGAGTTCAGGGCAGGAGTGACCTATCGGCACTCGCGATTTTTGACAACGACGATGGCCTGAGCTCAAGATACGTAGAAGAGCTCAAGGTTGAGAAGATAGATAAGTACGGATATCTTAGAAAATGTTTTGCAGGGATACAGACTATCCTTTTTGATGTGAGCGAGTTGATATAGCGTAAACACTTCAGAAATATTTAAACAGAAGATGACAGAGGCCGGACAGATGTGCTCTCTGTGTTCTACCCTGCATGCTTAAATTCTTCTTTAGATATTTTTTTTTATATATCACAAGAAATATACGGAACAATGATGAAGAAAGTGGGAGTTGTTTTTTTAAGAATAAGGCACTGCGTAACATGACGAAAAAATAGAGCGCAGAAAAACGAGGAGAGGGACAGGAATGAAACACAAAAGACAGACCAGTGATAACTCACAGCTCAAATGTATTGTACGATGAAAAGAAGAAAGAAGCAGGGAACGTGCGGGAGGCTCGAGGAAGAGAACACTGGCACCAGGGACGCAGCAAGGACATCAAACGTAAAGCCGCTTTAATCAAACGCATTCACCAGTCTTAGTAGGATGAAGTAGACACTAACATTCACCATTGTTAAACGAACATTCACCAGTTTTAAAAGGATGAAGTACACACACCTTTTTTGTGCGCTATTTTTCCATCATGTTCAACCAGTACCAACTCGCCCAGCTTACCACCTTCTCACTGCGTAATCACTACATACATGCACTTATAAACGGCTGATTGTAAATATCGAAATTGTTTTGTCATTTTTAGCGAAATCATTTTTGCCACATGATACTTCTCGTGATTTTATTATGGGCTTTCTTTATTCATTAGAGTCTTATTTGGTTTGCTACTATTGTTTGTCTGCACTTTTTGACCCACTTTGAGGCCGTCCGTTTGCCAGTCTCACGTTTTGCTTAATCCTCATCTACTCCGACTTAACAGGCCCCACCTTAATCTATGGCACAACCAACATCGAATTGGGAGAGAAAACATTCGCGTCATACCCAAAGTCATTCCCATCAATCGCGGTTTCGCGTTTGTTAAATGCAAATGAAGCTAACCTAAACTCTGTAAGCAACTACGAAACGAAGGCTGAGGAACGACGTCTAGAACTAGAGCGGAGTAAGTTGCTTGCTCCAGTTCGCAGACGTATATAGTTTCGGAGGCGAGCCTGACTAAGTGGAGCCATTGTGCGGCCCAGCGGGACGTATAAAGGGAAGTCAATTTGCCCGGGCCTTAAATCACGAGAACAATAACCACACAAAAGACAGCTCGGGTGAAGAGGAAAGGATCGCACGGGAGGAAGCTCGGTGAGATCCACGGTCACGCACCCAACCCATCGAAAGTATAGTAGACGCCGTTGACAGTAGCTGGAGGATGTAGACACACGGGAGTGACTAATCTACTTCTAGCTTAATCAATCTTCAAGTTAATGAACACGCTCGTAAGGGCGCAAAAATAGTAGGGCAATTATCAAGTTTCGCCACAACGTCACGGATTTGTATTGTTCTACAAATAGACATTCTGATTTTGTTGAAAGAAATCTGCACAACGGGAAAACGTGTATTTCTTTTCTCTTTTTTGTTATTGAATAAAGCATAATCTCGAGAGGCGTGCTGCATACTAAATATCCCGTAAATTCTAATTTTTTACAATTATTTTTTGCTTAAAACATTGGGCCCAGGCAGGGTGGTGGTTCAAAAAAGTGCAGATGCACTTGCAAAAAAAAAACACAAAAAAAAAACAAACGAACAAAACAGTGTGCGATTACAATTATAATTACCATGGTGTCGTACTGCTTATAAAACTTGTTATCGTAGACGCATTTACAACATCTGACTCAAGTTTATCCTAAACGTCTATACATCTTGGGGGAAAAATGAAAATTTAAAGGTGTCGGTAAAATACAGATACGAATGACTGAATCTATTTGTTATGCTTTGTACGGGTAAGAAGTCTGCGTGAGTGTATACACCAACACGGTATATATCAACACGCTGTTTATAAACAAGCCAGCGTTTGTACACACCAAGGTGTGGGCACTACACCTGCGCAGAAACTAAATTTGCATGAAATAGAGCGTCTGCTTCGCATGCGTCGGGCCGACAGCTTCACCACGGCAGCGTGTTGTCAGAACCGCGCGTTGGTGTATATATAAGTATTGTTCAAGAATACACGAGACCCAAGTAGGTGGAGGAAAACACTTTCGGAGATTATAACCTCCCCAAAACATCCGTCGTATCCGTATTCCAGAATAAAATATTATATTAAAATACACGTTTTGGCGCTAGTACGCAGGCGATTATGAGCCGGCGGAGGTCTAACGTCTCTGCTAAATTCTACAAAGAAAAACGGTCACATACGATCAGACTTGTACACGTTACTGAAAAATAGTAAGGAATTACATTTACAATTACTCGAGGCTAAATTGTAATTTATTACAATTACAATTACCTTCCCATGAAAGTAACTGACCGTTACCCCAAAAAGTAATCCGTTACTTTCGTGGCGTTACTTTGAACATTATTGTCCTCAAGTAAGAGACAAAGGGAAGAGGGTTATTCAAGTTCTTATTCTTGCCACCTGTTCCTTTTAATGACCTTGAGTATTTTGAGCAACAGCTGGCTCTCGAAAGTCTCTTCAGAACAATTTGCGTTATTTCTTACTCAGTACATCGACTGCTACGCTGAACACCATTTGAACTGAGGCACTAAATGGGAGTGGCATATTGTTCCTCACGAATGCTTCATGCTCTGCATTGAGCTTTTTCAGCGAAGCAAGGGAAGTGCTATTTACCTCGAATGTAGAGCAAAGCTTTGTCGTTGCAGCCGTTGCCTGATATAGGCAACCTGCAATGCTGTTTGGTTTGGCGCCATCTAGCGACTGAAGCAAGGAATATTGAGTACCCCTGGGAGTGGCGGCTGCATTGTACAAATGTGAGCTATTACTCTGGTGGCGCCGATTAGCCTAGCGTCTGAAGCAAGAAATACTGGGTATCCCAGGAAGCCGTGATCGCGTAACGTGCCAGTAGAGTGGAAGCTACGGCCCTGGCGGGCCAATCGTGACGTGACTGCGTATCACCGGAGCGCGCCTCAACTCCGAAGAAGCATCAGGCTTTTCGCTGCGTCATGCTCCAATATGTGTGCGCTGCGCACACATATTGTGTGCACATTTCGAAGCCTTCGGCACGCAATTTGGGGCTTATCGTTCGCCGTTTGCCAAGTTACAACACTATAGGGTGTAATTGTGCGCTCTCACCCTGCTGGCGCCGCCTGGCCGTTGCCGGCTGCCTATTCGAGAGATTTAGTAGATCCTTCCGATACCTCCGATACCCGCGATAACGGTACCCAGTAACGATATGATGCATACGCAAAGACGGTGGCGAAGTATCGGATATCATTATCGGAGTCATCGGACCGATCTACTAAAATTCTCCATTGTCTAAATCGCGAAGCTGTAGAAGTCATCAACAGCAAAACATAGTTGTAACAGTAAGGGGATAATTAAATAATAAATAAGGTCTGGTTCAATATTCTTCTTCCTTTGGTTCTGAACAGTTCGAGCCTCACTTAAGACGTTGGTGAATAAAAAAACGTTTCCAGTATATAAATATAAGTAATAAAAGAAAAAGAAGGATACTCATAACAACAATTAGAACGCCGGTTAAAACAAAAAAATGTAAACGCACGTTTGTCGTGTGTACCTTCCTTGGTGCCGTTCAAAAACGCACGGAGCACGGACTGACTGCCGTTTACTCCGGTGTTCTCAAGATAGACGTCCGCTGATGCCACGGCAAGCAAAGGGCAGAGTACTAAGTAAGCCACGCTATTGCCCCACTAACGAATTTCGCTTTCTCCTCAAGCCCAGAATATCAAGTCTACGTCAGCCACCATTATGTTTTATTTGTAAAAATATCTGCTTGAGATAAGATGCGTCCTGCTGGGGCAAAACAGGAAGAAGAAGAAAGGAAGATTATTACCATTTTATAAGTGCTCGCAAAAAGCTGACTCACAAAAAGGGTAGGGTAGACGGAGCGTTGTCTCGTGTTGTGACATTATGAAAATGGTAGGGTAGACGGAGTCACTATAACCGAGAAGGACATTTTTAATTCTTTTCAGTGCAGTTACCACCTGGAGCTTCTCGAAGAGGCGCACAATCACTTGGTGTCCTCTCCCCGTCTTCGGGGAGAGGATGACACCAAAAAAAGGAAATAAAAAAAAGCGGAAATGACTTGCCCCCCCCCTTTTTTTCTTTTTTTTTTCTAGAATTGCTTATTTGGG